CATTCCCCCGGAGGAGCTGGAGGAAGTGTCTGGAGAGAGGGAAGTCTGGGCATCTTTGCTTAGACTGCTGCCCCTGCGACCCGATTCTGGATAAGCAGAGGAAAATGGATGGATGGATGGATTTTACAGTAGCAGTGACATGAATGTGAACTTGATGGTTTAGAAAAGTTCCTCTATGTGTTTAGTTTCTCATCTTCTCTTCCTCCACAGAAACATGGTTCCCTCTAATCTGGTTGAGGCCACATTTCAGCAGGTAGGACACAAATATTTCAGACCAAAGACTTTATCACCTTTCTGATTCTTCCTGTAACCAACCTGACTGTGTTTCTTCAGTATAAAACACACCTGATTCCCATCCTCAAAGTCCCGACCAGAACCTTCCAGCCAAACTTCGTCTACATCATCCCAGATGAGGGTGACCACACGGGTCGGAGGGTGTATCTGGAGCTGACTCCGGCCCCGGAGGTCATGTACACAGAGAGTCCTGGCACCAGCCAGCAGATGAACGTCCTCGGCATTGTCGTCTTCTCTGCGACCATGGGTGAGCAGGACAGGGGTCAGCCTGCAAACTGGAATGACAGGTTTCCAGCAGCTGCTTTATTTCTGAATGTTGAAAATGTGTTTATGTATCTAACCTGTTATGACACTGTGGATGTTGCACGTACGTCCTTGATTGTTTATAAATGGAAACCACATCTAGGTGTAATAAAGATGACAGTGGTGCGCTGGGTAGAGCAGTCATCTCCCAACCAGAAGGTTGAAGGTTCGAATCTCAGTGCCTGCAGTCCACATGTTGAAGTGTCCTTGGGCAAGACACTGAACCCCCCCGTTGCCCCCGATGGTTAGAGCCATCGGTTGAGTTGGCACCACAGATGGCTGCCATCGGTTCTGTACCGGAAACAAATTCCTTGTGTGTTGTAACATACTTGGCCAATAAAGGTGGTTATTCTTATCCTATCCTCCTAAAGTGTGTTGTTGTAGGTCTGTTGTTGGGCAGGATGGGAGAACGAGGAGCTCCGCTGGTCAATGTCTGTCAGTGCATCAACGAGTGTGTCATGAAGATCATCAGCGCTGCTGTATGGTGAGCTCAAAACTCTGTCTGCATCTATTACACAGTATATAGTCTTTTACAGATAAATAATACAAATAGCTAAATATAGAGCATACACATCACAAATTGCAGGGATAGGGCTTCCCTTTGTGAGTCTTGAATTCACAGGGTAAATCCCTTCTTGTGGGTAAGAAAAGAGAAGAATTGTCAGACATGCTTAAGTATACAGACAAAACCCAGCAAAACACAACATGTACTGTACAAACAGAATAAATAAAACATTTTAGCATATAATAATAATAATAATCCAGATACTGTATTCACAAAATTTAATATAGCGTATACAAAAGTATTTTCACGTGATAATGTTACTAAAATGAGTGGATAAGTGTTCATTTAATTCACTTTAACCATCAGAGGTCTGCTTTGAATTTGACCCACGTTAACTCCATGACACCGTCAGCATGAATCTCTCTGTTTAGCTAGTCCTGAATCACAGCAGGATATTTCTGATTGATCAGTGAGTATTTGAGCTGTATTGATCTTGATGTGTGATCCTCCCCTGTGTGGATCTGAAAATGTGCCAGTGGTGGTGAGGGACGCATCTCAATTTCTTTAGCTGTATCCACATTTCCCTCTCTTGCATCTTTTCCTCACATCTTAGCCCTGCCCACATATGCAAGGACCAAATGCGAGAAGAGATGAACTGTCACCAAGTGATTTGTGATAAAGGGGCATGTCGGACCAAGACATCCATGAAGGATGCTCTCCTGTATCCTCGCTCCTCAGAGCAGGAATAAGAGCTTTGGGACATCCTTCAAGATGGTGGAATGGAATGGCTTCTGGGTCGAGGCAAGATCGAAGACTGACACATGTCAGAATATGAAGGCTGAATAGATGCAGTACTGCTCTTGAGTACTGTGTGTTATATCCATGTTTTTTCTAAAACTACAGTAACTGCAAAGTGTTTTTTGTCCAGAGCATCCATTAAGAGTTGAGACCAAACATAAGAATAATACTAACATCCTGCTCTAACTCTTGGTATTTCCGAGCCACAGATTGACTGCGAATGCACAAGTGGAATTTTTAATGTTGTCCCTGCTGAAAGAATAAACATGTCTTCAGACAACATAGTAGTGTTGAAGTGGAGTTGCATCTATACAAAATAATTTGTGTATCACAGCAGATAATTAGCATCTCCCATTTCCCCAGAGGATGTGACCTACTGACCACCTGACTCCTGCCACCATCAGACCAAATTTTTACTTGAACAAAGAAATATAAAAATCTAAGTGTAAGGTTGCCATGAAAAGTAGAGGACATATTCCTGCTCTCCAAAGGATGAACCCTTTAGATTTTCAGGACTCCAAGATCTTTCCTCTAGTGCCACTCTCAGGTGAAGAAAAGATAAATCATCGGGATGTTTCTTTGTTGGTGCCCTCTCAGGTACTTTCCGTTCGGGATCATCTTCCTGGTGGCAGGGAAGATCCTGGACATGCAGGACCCAAGCACACTGGGAAAGAAACTGGGCTGGTACGGCATCACGGTCCTGACTGGACTCTTTGTCCATGGACTCATCCTCCTCCCTTTCTTCTACTTCCTCCTCACCAGGAAAAACCCATTCACGTACATCCGTGGGCTGCTGCAGGCCATGGTGATTGCCCTGGCTACCTCCTCCAGGTCAGAGTCCAGGACAGGCCTTGTTTAACCTGCAGCTCTGTGGCTTTGTTCAGGTCTTTATTTTTATATAATCTGTCCTCAGCTCTGCCACACTGCCCATCACCATGAAGTGTTTGTTGGAGAACTGTCACATTGACCGGCAGATCGCTCGCTTCGTCCTCCCTGTGGGAGCCACCATCAACATGGACGGCACAGCACTATACGAGGCTGTGGCAGCCATCTTCATTGCTCAGGTCAATGAGTACGAGCTGGATTTTGGCCAGTTGGTCACCATCAGGTACAAAAACATCAACACTTTTAAATGTCTTTAAGACAGTTCAGGTGGGTTTTGGCAACTTACAAAGGGCAAGAAGAACTCTCTCACAATGATAAGCCATGGAATAGGTATTAACAAAATGTCTTCCTTATTAGCCTAATGTTTCCAAATGGAAACATTTTATCTAAATGGCAGGATGCCATATGTGAATGTTAAGAATCGTAAATCCTATGCTGCAGGTGTCCCACAAGGTCCTATATTTGGACAACTTTTATTTAGTCTTCATAGTACTGATCTGATGTGGAGATCAAGCTCTATGCAGATGATACAGTGGCATATGCATAAGATTGTACAAATCTGCACGCTGCTTCCAAAACTTCCGCAATGAGACTATTACAGTGCGAGGAAATCGATCATGATTTCAGTTTAATGTGACAAACATGGTAAGCATGTTCTTCTCAAAAAGGTCATGCACTGCACCTAAGCCATGCACAGTGCTATCAAGGCAAAAGCTACAAGTAGTGATCAGATTCAAGTATGAACATACAGTATTTTTAGTTTGGGGCCTGAAACCAATCTGCTTTCATTGGTGTTATGTTTTACATAGACTTTTTAGTGAACTCCTGAGCTGGGAAAATTTGACACACCATGCCATCTTGTTTTGTAAATTGTACATAGTACTGCTCCACCCCTACTTGTTTTAAAGAAATAACACCCACTGTAGTTATCGCATCATTCTCGAAGAAGCGCTTTTTGTCAAGATGGACATAATCCTTACTTGGCAGTGATTGTAGATATGTGCCATTTGTTATAATGTGGGATTGGTTATGGATGAATGTGTACTTTATCTTGTTAATGATATTTATTGTTGTACATTTTAATATGTACAACAACAACAGGGAGAGCAGATGGAAATTAGCTTTCGAAGCTAACTCTTGCTCATTTCCACATCAATGTTTTTAATAAGTCAACAGATAAAAATCCTGTGCACAGCTGTATGCACATTCACCTACCTGGTGCTGAGATGGAGGCAAAATATTGCAGAAAAATTGGGGTAAAATCAAGGTTTATATCTGAAGCCTTTCATTATGAATGTTGGACAGAGGTCAGATAAAAAAATCCACCGTCAGCTCCAATGTGAATAAAATTTCTCTGTAACACTTCTGTGTCTGTTTAAGCTTGTTTGTTCATCTGTGACAAGTTAAATTAACCTTTCTTCTGCCGTTACAGCATCACAGCTACAGCTGCAAGCATTGGAGCAGCAGGGATTCCCCAGGCTGGTCTGGTTACCATGGTGATCGTGCTGACATCAGTGGGGTTACCTCCAGATGACATCACACTCATTGTAGCCATTGATTGGATCCTGTAAGTATCAGCACTCACTATGCAGAAAGGGCCCTCTTAGCAGTACTTTTATCAAATAAACATAGCAATACCATAGTGTAGAAATACTCTGTTACACGCCCTGCATTCAAAATATCATGTAAGTTAAAGTAAAGAATTATTAGCATCAAAATATAACTGAAGTAGCAAAAGTAAGTAGCCATGGGTGGCTGTGGCTCATGAGGTAGGGCAGTCGTCTCCTGACCAGCAAGTTGGTGGTTTGACTCCCGGTCTCCTAGGTGCCCGTCAACCAGACACTGAACCCCGAATTGCTCCTGGTGGCTTGACTAGCGCCAGTGCATGGCAGCCTGTCGTCATTGGTGTGTGAATGTTGTGTGTGAATGGGTGAATGGTGTATGATCTTCTGTAAAGCGCTTTGGCCAGTGCAACACACTGTGAGAAAGTGCTATATAAAATACAGTCCATTTACCATTATGTAGAATGGTACATTGATGCGTTACTGTGTCCATCACTTTAATGCTGCAGCTGGTAAAGGTGGAGCTGATGGTAACTACCTTATATACTTATACTGTGAAGTACTTTACATCCTGCTGGGTAGTTGGTGGATTTCCCACTGGAATCAATTGAGTCTGATGGTTCTACTGGGTTTGGTTTGATTCATCTGATTCTGGAAAGGAACTGAAGTTATCAGGTACATGTAGTGCAGTAAAAAGTACACGGTTGGTCTCTGACATGGAGTCACAGTATGAAGGAGCAGCACATGGAAATACTCAGATCACTTGTACTTTAGTACAGTACTTGAGTAAATATACTTTATTTTCCACCAGAGTGGTATATTTTCATGATAAAAATAAATAATTATGTTTCATATGTTAAGTCTCAATCTGAAAAGTAATCAGGAACTATAGCCGTGCAATACTGTAAAACATATATACTGAGTAGAGCCTAGTACCTCAAAATTTAACTTCTGTCAAAGTCATCAATAATTGTAATTTCATGTATAGAAGCTACTTTGCTCAGCTGTCAAACAAACTGGGGCAAACAGAAAAAAAAAGATTTGAATAAAACTCTTTCAGTACTGCTCAGAGACTCTTGTTCAGGGTTCTCCTGGTCTGATGGCGTCTCCTCGTCCCCTTTGTCTCTACAGGGACAGGTTTCGGACCATGATCAACGTCCTTGGTGACGCGCTGGCAAATAATAGCCCACCTCTGTCAGAAAGATTTCCCTCTTAGCGGAGCCGGAAAGGTAAAAGCAGCACCTTCAACTAATGCTGAGATTCACACTTTAATTTCTGCAACAGTACTGAGGTCACATGAGTCAGACAACAGAACCAGAAGGATGGACATGATTTAGGGATGAGTGAAACCAGAAAAGAGGACAAAAAAGGAGCAATGCTTTAAAAATACACATAGTAAGTCAGGGTCATGATGTTGCTAGCCTGGCTTAGCATAAAGACTGGAAACAGGAGGAGACAGCTAATCTGGCTCTGTCTGAACATCAGAGGTTCTCCTACTCACACCTCTACAGATGACCAATCAACATGTTGTTTCTTGACCATGTCACTGTGTTTTTCTGTTTCCTCTTCAGTCTGTACCATCCTACGGTACGCAGACCCCTCACAACAACTCCCACAGCGTCAGCGTACCAATGACGGAGATCCACACACACACAGACTGCATGTTTGGGGAGATGGGCAACTCTGCTGGTGTAAGGCATGTGCACACCGTCTACTACAACATCTGTCAGGTTTGATCAGACAAGTCTCAAAACACCACAGAGTTCTCAGTCCACGGTCTGAGAGGGTCTGGTTAAATCCCGCTGTACTGTCTGATGAGGAGTGTTATGAAGAAGCAGACCCTGAGCTAACAGAGCTAGAATGCTCTTCTTACCCTCACCAAAATGGATTGGAGCTTCATCTGGAGCTTCATCCTGCTGCTCACTAAGGCCAGAGAGAGCAAGAGGTCTAAGGCCACAAGGACTATAACGTAAGCACTCATCAACACTAACTATCAAGCTAGCCTTGATCATACTCCAGGACGGACTTGTACTTGGTGATGGAGGGGCTTCTATTCATATAATCACTTTATTAACGATAATCACCTTTATTGGCCAAGTATGTTACACACAAAGAATTTGTTTCCGGTACAGAACGAGGCAGCCATCTGCAGTGCCAACTCTAACCATTGGGGGAACTTTGGGGGTTCAGTGTCTTGCCCACACGTGGACTGCAGGCACCGAGATTCGAACCTCCGGTTGAGAGACGACTACTCTACCCACTGAACCACAATTGCCCCATATATACGGACATGTTTTAAATGTATGCACCAGAGAACAAGTGGTGACTTCCTGACATGAAGAGCTCATTTATTTGGGTGTTTGGCCGAACAAACTGGAAAAGTCTAAAAAAGAAAATGGTGTGTGTGACTGCCTAATAAGAATAATACCAAGGAATATAGGACCTACAGTACAGTGCACAAAACAACTTTTCTACTGCATGCGCAGTCGGTGCACTTGTAGTGTGGATGAAACCATGAATCGGCCTTCAGGGACAGGATGATGAGCACAGACTCCTGGATGCCACCTTTTGGAGGTTTTGTGAGTGGAGTTGGTACGAGACCCTGCGGAGACTCACAACACTGCATGTCACTTGTCCATCTGTAAGGCTTGGTTCGTGCAAAATACATCTGGACTACTGCAAGCCAGACCCTTCTAAGTGCCCAAAAGACAATACTAGAAAAACATGTTCTACAGTATATTTCTCAAAGTAAAGCATTAAAACTGTATTGGTCTAGCATTGATTTAAAACCTCCAGTATCTGCAGAATGTTCAAGTGGCACCTGCTGCTGTTGGTTTCTGCATATGTTCCCAGCCGTTTTGGGTCTCTCGGGTGTTAATACAATGCTGACTGCACCGTGAATCTGATTGGCTGGAGCTCGCTGCTGCCTGTGCTCACACTGGTAGAGGGGTGAAAGGGTCATCTCTAAGTGCTCTTCATGTTGCAGAGTAAAGCTTCTTCTTCTTCTGTCTCCTGTGTATTTGGCAGCATGCTGGCATGCATTCTAACTGGCTTCCTTTGAAGTTGACGTGCATTATTTTCTTGTCTTCTCTTGTTGTGACTGAATGTTGCAAAGGGAATTTTAACATGAACAGATGCTAGTTTGGGTGTCAGCTGACCTCATGCCCCTCCTGGGTCTGCATTCAAAATGTAATAGTTCCAGATTCTCAAATGTGAGAACTTGATTTATTGATGTGTCATTGTAGTCAATTTAATTCTGCCATTTTTTGACAAGACATTTAATGAATTTTCACTGGGATGTTGTGATGGGCATTTTTATTTTTTATTTTTACAGATTTATAATCTTTTCCAGACCAAATGATTTCAACGAATGATTAGACAGTGTAAGTCTGATGCAGGACTCGAGGTATTAACTGTGACAGACTATTTACTGTATCTGCAGCCATGTTGAAGTCGTTTTCTTGTGGTTTGGATAAAAAACATAACGCTATGTGATTTGTAGTTAGGTGGCTAAGAAACATCTCAGATTTCACAGGTGTCACAGGAGGTGGACATGAAAAGTAGACCTGCCTTAATTTGGCTGTGGACCTTCTGTGTTTCCACAAGCCTCAGTGTTCATCTGCCAACGCCTGACAAACTGCAGCATCTTCAACTGACACCAAAGCATTTTTCATCAAACTGCAAACTTGTACACATACTCTACAGCATTTGTTGTTTTTATATGAAATATGCGTATTGGTTTTTGGACCTTCTGTGGTTTTTATTTATATTTGGAAATAAACACCATCCGACTGGATGCATGACGACATTTTCTAGTTACTGGGTGTCCTCAACACCAACAAAATCCAGGATATGTTTAGCCAGGTTTAGCACTGGAAGCAGGAGGACAAGTCTTAGCCTAGCTCCATCAAAAGAGAGAACTGCTGAGAACATCTCTACAGTCCTGAACCCACTATAGATTGGCCAAGGTAGAGCTGTGTCCTAACAACTTCAGGTAGTGCCTCTCGTGTATTAGCATATGTTCAGGTCACTGAGGAAACCATCAGTTTTTCTGTGACATGTCAATGTTTGAAAAACCCAGAAGGCTGTGTTTGCTGTTCAGCTAGCTGGCATCTTAGTTTTGATGTGTTAAAGGAGGCTTTCTAATAAAACTGAACAAAATCAGACAACTATAAGCCTCAATCACACCAGAAAGTGTCACAGCAAAGTGAATGTGAGATTCTTTGTAAAAGAGAAGCTTGGACGTGTAGTGACTGCTTGTGGTGCTAGCTGGTGAAACTGCCCGCTAGCCGCTCATGTGTGAATCCATATCAATCTCATGCCTGTGATCAGTACAGAGAGAAATTAAGTTAAGATATCATAAACCGAGTGCAAAGAGTCCAGTAGGAACCTGCAGAGGGAACACACAGGTAAACAGTTTAGACAAAAGGACATTATAGCTCTGCACTGCAGCTATTTTTAACCCCCTCTCAGAGCTGTGGCCATAATCCAATAAGAGGTGCACGGGACTGAGCCTTGTAATGACATGCAGCTACAGGTGCCGTCTAGCTAATCCTCCACCACAGATGACATTCACAATGAAGACTTGGTGCGTACGTAAGGAACAACAGGGATTACCCAGGTTTACCAATGGGGTCCCCTGGCTTTGCATGCTGGGAGTTTCTCTCCTCAAGGACGTTAAAGGACAGCTTCAGCATTCAGTGTCACTTTGTTGGGCTTCATGATTAGATCAACGTTGTAACCTGTGGTCAGACCATGACGTGCTTTAAATGTTTACAACCTTGTCAGGTGAGAGTTGAAGCTGTAAACTAGAGGAAAACTGAGTGTAGTGTAATTAACTGTGCAAGGGACACAAGGCTGTCCAGCAGTGACGCTTAACTGGCAGGAGAGAAGGAAGAAACATAACAGATTCTGTTCTGTGTCCCACAGACCGTGAAACCACATCCCTGTCATGAGGCTGAGCGACCAGGGCAGTGATGGGTCGCAGCAGGCTGAGTAAATTAAAATGAATAGAGATATTGTTAATGGCTCAGACCTACAGAATCAACAACCTTTATGTAGCTGGTCGCAGCAGGGGGCTGTGGCTGGAGCTCTGCTGCGTACAGAAAACGACAGGAGACAAGCAACCAGGCAAAAAAACTAAACAAACAATGCAAACTGCAAAATAATACAAGACATGTCAGTGTGGGAGGGGTCTTTATTGGTAAACAGCAGTTTGCCTACAAATGTTTTGTAAGCTTTTTTTTTTCCCTTTAGATTTATTTATTTTTAATTTTCGTGACCACTAGGGGCCGTGAGGTGTTTGTGCGAAGGATAATAATTGGTTCTTTCTCATGCAGCTGAGAGACACCATGTCCTGGCCCACTGTCACTGGGTTTAACACACTGGGGGGCATTCTAATTACACCAGTCACATCTTGTTGTTTGGCTTCTTGGGAAACCCCTTAGATCTCCTCTAGAATTTAGGTTTATTTAGGTTTTTGGCTGCACAGCATGAGGTAGCAGTTCATGTTGCAAGATACTGAAGCTGTTCACTCAGCGTACAAATCTCAGATACATGACTAACATAACAACACAGGTTCACAGTGTAAACAGAGCATGTCTCGCTCCATCCGATCATCATTCAGGTACGTCTGAAAGCATGAATGAAGAGTCCTTATCAGGGTTTTTCTGATCGGCGTCAGAACTGTCAGAGGCTGGTTTTATTCCTCATCAAACTTTGCGAAAGCAGGATACCAGTAGCTGTCCTTCCTCTGCCATTTGTTCCTAGTGGCTTGTTCTGTCTTTTGTTGTTGGACTTTCTTTATCCAGCAGATCTGAGCAGCAGCCAGGCAGATCATGAGGACCTGCCGCAGGAAACAGACTCATTAGAAACTCAGAAGCATCACTGTTCGGATATCTGTGGCAGCCAAGAACAAAACAACAGGAAAGCTGTGTTTTTATGCTCTTGTGTCAAAGCTGCATTATTAATGTGGGGTTTCAGCAAACAGCAGTGATGAGGGACCACATCTGCCTGGCGTTACCTCGAGCAGCAGCAGGCTGGCCGTCAACCCGGCCACCAGCAGCAGGTTGTTTTTAGCCCACCAGATGATTTTCTGCAGGCAGCCGGTGGTGAAGATGCTCTGTTTGGCCAAGTGTTCCTCTCTCTGCTGCTTCCCATAACCACACATGGTGTTGAGCACTGTCTGCAGGGGACGACACACATCTGGTATGTGAGAAAGGTTTAAGGTAATGCTCTGCCTTGCCCCAGTTCCTGTCTGTGTCCCCTGCACAGCTTTCACAGAAACAGGAAGCAAAATAATATGTGAATGTGGAGATGTCACAGAGTTCTGGCTATGTTTTTATGGACTCGGCTGTGGACTATGGCCCTCAGATAATGTTTTTAGCCATGTGTGGACCATCAGGCCCCAGCGGGAATGGTTTCTAGACTTCTTTTTGGAAAAGAAATTAAGAAAAAACCCTGGACAGATTTCAGTAAAGCAAACAACATTGAAGATTTTTTATTGTTACAAGCAACAGTCTGTCAGGCTTTGGTGTCACACTGACCTTTGGACACGGAGCTGCTCTTACTCAGGTTTATATCAGATACAGTAATACTGCTCTGCTGTATGTGCACCTACATGTACTGTGGTGCTCTGCGCCTGCAACAGCATCTCATTCCAGCTTCACAAATATTCACACTTTGATGCTTTTCTGTTTCCCGTATTGTAGAACACTGGAGGTATCTGGACTTTGCACTGCTGGAAATTTAAAAAAGCATCTGAAACAATCATCTGGGCTTTTTTCATTTTTTCATATTTATGGCAGTTTATAGACTGATTAACCAAGAATATAAAGATTAATCAGCAAAGCCTAGTGGCCACCACATGATGGCCTGTCCCAGCTGGGCTCCACACAGGCTTCCTCCCGACATTAATTCCCAGAACTGATAGACATGGGCGTGAGCAGTGGAGGCATCCCCTTGGAAACCCACTGCGCACCCTGGAGACCGACAGGTGTTTCCACAGGTGTTAGTTCTGACCTGGTTCATCAGGCGAACGCAGCAGGAGAAGGGAACCCCGCAGGCCTCCAGACTGGGGTTGGTGTCCGAACACTTGAAGTAGACGTTCTGGGACCAATCCTTGTAGTTCTCGACTCCACAGCACTGGAACTGCAAACACAACCATCTCTCACTATAGCGGCACCAGTGTCCATTTAGGTTTAGTCAGAGTTTAATGCATTCTTCCCTGTATTTGTTGTTCTTATTGACTGAGGTCAAAGATAGATGGATTTACGTTAGGAGAACAGCTGTAACTGCGATTAAGTTTTAACCTTGGATGCCTGCAGCAGCAGCAGCAGCAGCAGCGCTACAGAGATTTGACCAGCTGCTGGAAGAAACTGTACCTAGTCAGGAGCCAGTTTGACTCAGCAACTTGTCAATCATCAATCCCTCTCGTTATCATTTAGTTTTTAGTCACTGATAAAAACAAAACACATTTGGTCATTTTATGTTGTGAAAAAAGGAGTTCTTGTCCATCTGTTTGTGCTGACCTGCCACCACAGTTCATTACAAAAAGTGATAACTCTTTACAAGACTGCGCTGCCTCTTCCTGTTCACCTTCTTCTGGATGAAGTCGATGGCGTTCTCCAGGTCCTGGTCTTCCCTGTAGTCGATGATGGCCTTCATCATCAGCTTCTCTGTCCTCTCCATCACCTGGACATCAACAAGAGCAAGTCTGGTTCTCATTGGAGAAAAGGTCACCAGGCTACAGGAACTACTTTCTCTGCACTGGCTATTCAAGTACTGTTCTCGAGTCTATTTTCTGCTGCATCCTACTTCTACTGCAGAGCAGTGTGAGGTTACCACGTCTGTGAAGAGAAACCCCCCAACTCCTGCTCCGATCTGCAGCACGAGGACGGACATCAGGATCCCAAGAAACTGTAGGAACAAACAAGATGGAACAAGAGGACCTGAGTGACATGAAGATACGAGCAGCCAGAGCCTAGCAGAGACTGGAACACCATCATGTTAGTCCGTGAGCTACTTGTACTCGAGTATTATCAGTTCAAGCTGGGTTATACTTCTACTCCATTTCAGAGGGAAATACTGTGCTTTTTACTGCACGGCATTTACCTGGAAGTTTAGGACTAGTTCATTTACAAACAAATCCTAAATATGATGCTTTGTTAAAGATGAAACTACTCAGTACAGAAGTAGGAAACAGAAAATTAACTGGCAACTACTTTGAAAGAGATTTAAGTAATTTTTCATGTAAAAATGTCAAATCATTTCAACTTCTCAAATCTGAAGATTTCTGTTAGTATTTTTACAAAACAATGATTCAGAAAATAATAACAGCTTTTTAGCAAATACGTCAAACATAACTTAACACCTCCACCAGTGAAGCAGTGCATCAGTGTTAGACCACATAGTGTTACACTGACCGACCACTTCACTGCATTAACAACATGTTCCTGTTTATAGTTTCATACTTTTACTTAAGCAGCATGTTTACTGCAGGACTTTGACATGGAGTTGGGTATTTATAGTGTGGTACTAGTACTTCCTGCATCACTGCTGTGTGTAAGAACCAGCTCCGCCTGCAGCTTCAGCAGTAAAACATTTTACTGCTGAAGCTCTTATGCTTCAGGATCAGATAGCAGGAGAATGAAGTACTTGTGATACTTCAAATACATTTTGCTGATAATATACTCACATTTGTACTTAAAATACAGGGCTTTCACTTGTAACAAAGTAACTTTTACACTGTGGTGTTGTTATTTTAACCTGAGTACCGTTTTCAGCAGGCAGGTGGCGTTACGCAGCGCTCCGAAACACCCGAGGAAGGTGATGAGGAACGTAACAGAGCCGACGACGATCAGCAGCAGAGCCGGATCTACTGTCAGGGTGTCGACCACATCTACACACACGCACACACGCACGCACACACACACACACACACACACACAGCTGAATTCTCACCGTCATACCTGAGCAGCAAAGGTTTAAACATGTCTGATGAATTTTTTTGTGGCTCCTCAGGAATGTTATGAGTCAAGCATGTTTTTACATTACACACACTAGTCTTCCTGTAACTGTGAGGACACTGATATAATGCATCCTCTAATCTTAACCATCACAAGTAAATATCTACCTCCAACCCTTTTTCTAACACCTGACCTAAACCCAGTTCTAACACGAGCCCTAAAACCAACCGGGTTATGAAGGCATGAGGACCAGACAACATGTCCTCACAGGGAAGAAATGTCCTCTCAGTTTGGTGTAAAAATGCGATGTGGGGACGAGGACCTGTTCATCAGCACTAAGTCCAAGCGTTCCCTTCAGGTACTTCCAGGGATTTTACTTGAGCTACACACTGACTTGACTGTCTGCTGTTTAGCAGACTTCCAGCTCCCAATGGAGTTTGCTTCTGGACTAACAGCATTCAGTGTCACTCACCAAACTTCACTGGGCCTGGGATGATTTTGTGACTGACCTTTCTCTTTGGCGATCTTGGCATAGATTCCCACCGCTATGAGCGCGGCACTGATGACCTGCAGAGGAGCAAACAAGCTTCCATCACAAGAACACAACCCAGAGGACGTGCAGAATATCTGCAGTGCTATTTTACTTTGAAGCCCTCACTGTTCAGGCCGACCTGCTCCTACGAAGCAGTGTCACTGGGGTGTTGACATCACCATATCGTGCAACTGGTCTAAGATTGTGTATTGCTCAGTGTGTGTGTGGGATCTTCAGTTTGTTCCCAAACAGACACTTACCCAGAAGATGTAGCAGCAGATGAATAAAGTGTACTTAATGCCTCGGTATCCTCTCTGCATATCTGTGCTGTTTGCTTGTTAGCTGCTCACAACAGCAGGAAGACGTGTGTCGGCCTGCAGGGCGCATTCCTCCTGACAGCCTCATCCCCTCCTCTGCTGCTGCTGTCAGCCTGTCATCACACTGAGGGAGGAGCTGTGGACCACTCCACCTGATCAGCACACAGACTGTGGTGGATATTAGATTCAAAGACTTGGGAGTAGGTAGAGAACAGGTCTGGACCACGTTAAGGATAATGAAACATGACTGGTTGGATGTTAGGGACCAGGTTAGGTTCAGCCACAGTAAGTAAGAAGAAAACCAGACACACTACAGGATCCACATTAAAGTTCTGTTCAGACTACAGTACATGCTACAGTGCCTCAGACCCAATGTGTCCATAGAAGTGTGAACAGACCAAACCAGATCAGATCTGGGCCCCCTGTATACTGTATGTGGTCCAAGAGCAGATTCCTATCCGACCTCTGACTGTATGAGTGCATTTAAACCCCTGCTTAGCCTGGAAACTGTTTTCTTGTCTTCACTATGATCAGTTTTTAAAATCTCTTTTCTGTCTGTCATCTCCTGGACTCATGGTGTGACCCAGTGAGAACGAGGTCGCTTCTCTTGTGTTGCTATTCAGTCTGAAGGACACGCTGAAGGGCAGTGGTGGTTCAATCCCTGGACCAGTGGGATTGAATCTGTCCAGGGTGGTAATGCCTCTGTGGAGCTGCTGGCTCAGACTGTGGTTGTACTGGGCAGCTTCCAGGTGGGAATGGGATCCGAGGAAAAGAGAGGCGAGCCTCCTCTGACTCAATAAAGGCAAAAGAAGTTTTGGGTCTAGTGGTCAAAGTCACCTCACTCTTCTTCTCAATTTCCTCACCTTCTTGCGCCTCCCCTTCCTCCCTCCCCCCACTTCCTCCCCCCACTTCCTCCCCCTCAGTAAAGCCGATTGTTCCTGACGGAGGATTCCACTCTGCTGTGTTGTCTCTCCCACCCAGGCGGCTTTCATCTCCCTCCTCTGGGATCCGAGGACCTGACTGGGGACCATGGGGCTGCTTGACATCCTCTCCGCCATCAGAAACCGAGCTGAAAAGTTCCTGAATGAGAAAAATGTGGTGACTGACTTTCTGGGGAAGGTGGAGGAGAAAACAGGGATGAAGAAGAAGATCATTGCAGTGGGTACGTGAGATTTGTTCTGCTGTGGCTCTTCACTGTGTTCACATCGTTGTTGACATGCTCTGCATGATTCTGCAGTTGGTCTGCTTTACTCAGAAGGCTGGAACCTGCTGCAGCCAGGGGAAGCCTGAAGAGGGTCCAGTTAATCCTCCTGTGAACATGCAGCTTAGTGGCAGCTACAAGTCACTGAGCGTTCTGGGTCAGACTCTGTGCTGCAGTTCACTTTCTGTTGCACTTTTAATCTTAAAGCTGCTCTAACCAGCATTTCATGTTAACAATTGGTCAAATTAAAGCACGTCAGGTCAAGTCTGATTTTATTTGCACAAAATCACAAATTTGCCACAAGGGTCCATACAGTCTGTACAGCAGATGACACCCTGACTTGGATCAGGAAAATCCCCCCTAGGAGAATCTTTGATAGAAAAACAGAAGAGACCTCAGGAGGAGCAGCAGAGGAGGGATCCCTGCTCAGAACAGGCCTATTGTTGCTTCTAGTTTCACTGTTGTGGCTGGTTTTCTGTCTGCTTCGGCTCCTTGCTCTAGGACACGTGGGCTGGAGGAGCTGCGGACCCTCTCCACCTCCTGATCAAATCAGCTGGGTAATCAATTCATCAGTGAAGACGGGGTAGTAGTGCACTGCTGCAAACTGAACTGCAGAGTCAGCAGAAACATTTTCTAAGCACTTTGTCATCAAAAAATAATTTCACCTTTAGGAACCTGGAAAAATGTAGAAAAGTTTTTAATTAGAGATAAAACTGTCCGTTGTTTGTTTGGTTCCACGTTTTCATAGAAGCAGGAAAACAAACCCATTTAGCTTTTTTTTTTTAAATGAGGGACTGACACCGGGTTCCCAGTGTCTGTTTTCCGGACTGACCGACCAGATGACGCACAGACGTCCTCTCATTAAAGGCCATTGCGCTCGACCCCTGTCCTTCCCACAGCTACGTGGATCTACACACGAATAAATACGTTTCAAACACTTTCCTTAAAACGCCGTGAAAAACATGGAGGCTATTCTGACAACTTACGGAGCGTTTCACTAAACACAAGTTCCTCTGGATGGTTTCAGCACTCACCCAGTGGGCGAGTGCTAGTGCAGGTGTAAGTGCACGGGGAACAGCTGGGGGTGTACTTCCAGACTGGGTCTGGCTCACGCTGCTGAGCAGAGAAGCAGGAACAGCGGTCTATTCATCCAGTGGCTCGGAGGCGTGATGTCAGTGCCTGGTGGCCGCTGGTCCCCGCACTCTGCAGGAACGCTGAAGCCGATTATCCTCAGGCAGCAGAGCCCGGCCTCCATGTGTGAGCAGCAACATAAGCTGATCAGAGGTAGGACACGTTTCACCCCGTGTCTGTGTGTCCAGGTGTCCGCAGACTCTGTCAGGAGACAGGCTTTAACCCAGAGCCCAGTTCAAGTTATTAAAGTGCTGTGATGTACCAGCTGATCGCGTGGAGGTGTGAAGACTTGGATTTAGAATGTTTCCTCGAGTTTGATCTCTTAAAATGATTTTTCTTCAGCTGTAACAAGAATGAAAGTTTCTCTCGTGTCGTTTTTGCAGGTGACAGTTTCGTGAACGATCAAGTATGATGTTTGTAAATGAGTATAAAGCGTTTTTCTGCTTATTATTCCTGACCCCCGAAGAAGCTGCAGGTTGAAATGTCAGATTTGAGTTTACATGGTGTTAGTTGAATAAAACAGGTCTGTGCACGATCGTCCTCCTTCAGATGACTCTAGGAGGTGGCCACAGAGAAGTAACTGGACATTTGTCTTTAGTTCTCCACGGATCTGAACGGGTTCCGGTTTTAAAATCAGGTCCCACTTCTGCCACAGCCACCTGCTGTGGATTCCTGGCATCTCAGAAATGTCGGCCAGCTGTCTGCAGACTGTAGCTGGACTGAGACTATGATTTAAAACTAAAGGCCTTCGGCCATCTTTTCCAGGAGTACGTCTTCACGTTAAACTTTTCAAGCTGCTGGATGAGACTGATAATATTTTCTCCTCAGTTGTTGATGAATTGGATCCATACAGCTCTAAAAGATCTAGTCCACTGTTTGGACATCCTGGATAAATGAAAGCATTCATGTCCTGAAGCAAACATGTCTAGGAATGACCTCAACACCTCTGCTGAACTTCAGGATTTACCTTTTGATACAATAATAAAAAACAGTGGCTCTATAGTTCAAGATCACTGCTCAACACTGTACATAAAAGAGAACAAGCCAAACTTTAGCACACGGTTGCCTCTGTGTCTTTCTGTGCATGTGTGTGGTGAAGTGACAGGAACATACTTAAACAGTACATTGTCTGCTGGGTCCTGTCCAGGTGCTGTGTCGCTGACTGGACTCTACCTGGTGTACGGATATGGTGCCTACCTCCTCTGCAGCCTGATCAGTTTTGTCTATCCAGCATATTACTCGTAAGTATTTTTCACTCTGACAGTCACCAGCTGACCGCAGGTTGCTCCTTCACAGAGACCGTTCCCAGCTGAATGAGGTTTCATCAGATTTCTGATCTGAAACCCTCCTCACTGCACAAATGGCCCATTTCAGCTTCTTGAATACCACATGTACATAGTAACAAAGCTCATTGCTGAGGTCTGATCCTTGACAAACACCTGTTGTCTGCTCTGTTGTTTGTGGCTACATTTAGTTTACAGTAATGTGACCTGAGAAGCAATGGACTCTACCTCCTCCCGTTCCCTCAAGCTGCCTGTCAAAAATCTGCACAAGCCCTTTATCTCAAGAGTGTCCTGCATCACTTCCCTTGACTTCAGCTTAGAGAGAGAGAGAGAGAGTTTTCAAATGTGGGCAGAGAAGCCATGAGAAGTCTTATTAATACTGTGTTGATGCCCAGTGATCACAGCTATTGTATTCAAGTGTAAACAGGATCTCTGGTTGTTTCCACTTGTACCTGCAGAATCAAAGCCATTGAAAGTCCTGGCAAAGAAGATGACACAAAATGGCTGACGTACTGGGTGGTGTACAGTGTCTTCAGTCTGGGCGAGTTCTTCTCTGATATTTTCCTCTACTGGTTTCCTTTTTACTACGCTTTTAAGGTGAGAAATCACTTGGGGACCGGTGATCAAGGGCGGATCTAGAAGATTTTGGATGGGGTGGCCGGGCTGGGGCACAGACTCTCATTTGGAATACATGTAAGAAGTATTAAACCCCTAGTTCTATGGAATAATGGACCCTATGCTATTAAGAATTAATCTATTTATTCCATGTAAACATGAGACACACTGTATCTTTACAGTAGCTCCTTGATTACAGCTGCTGCACAGTGCCACTCCTGGCCACCCCTTTGGCTCCACCCATTCTTATTCTAATTGAATCCTGTGAACTTTAGAAATGCTCCTTCTGTCATGCTAAAGGACAACGTGCTCTTTGTGGGTTTTATATTATTAAGTTCAGTACCACTAAAATCAAAATCCTGAAAATGTACAAAAACATCTCCCAAAAAAGGAAAAAAATAAAATAAGGTATTGATCTGTCTCCCGCCTGTTCTGTGGTTCCAGTGTCTCTTTCTGTTGTGGTGCATGGCCCCGATGTCATGGAACGGCTCCCAGATTATCTACAACAAAGTGGTTCGGCCCGTCTTCCTCCGCCATGAAGCCACGGTAGACAACATGGTCAGTGACCTGAGTGGGAAGGCCATGAGCGCTGCCGAGAACCTGACCAGAGAAGGTACGGACCCATGGAGGGCAGGAACACTCCTGTACAGAGGTTCTGTAAACATCAGATTGAAACTTCCTTCCCTGTCTGCAGTCTTGTCCACTCTGGTGAAGAACAGAGCTCTGGTGACTCCGATGCCACCCGTCGCTCAGTTACCAAGTCCATCGGCAGCTAAAGTAGCTCCACCACAGCCGAGTGAAGAACGGCCGGTACGCAGACTACACCTGCTCCCCGTTGGTTCACTTTACACTCCTGTGAGAAATTTAGATGGCAGCCATCAAGGCAGACAGGGCTGGGTGAAAGGAGAGCTGGGGAGGGACGTTCAAACCTGTCACACCTGACCAATCACTGTTCCTGTGGTTGATGGATTGTCTGCTTTGGACAGGTTTATAAAATGGCTGGATGTAGCTGCTTTCGTGTGTCAGCTGTAGCAACAAAAACTATGACAGAGGATATTTACTGATGAAATGAGACAAAAACGAAATAAAAAGCTTTGCCCAAAAACCTTTGAAATAACAACTATGATGAAATGTGCTAAAGTTAATAAGTAAACAATTTGGCTATTTGTTTATTTAATCTGTACACAAACACAACAGTTAAAGATGTAAAGTTCTGTCGGCCGTGAATTTCAGTTTGTGTAACGACAGGCATCGTGTTAATCCCTCAGTTTTAGAGGTGTTGGAGTGTGGGTTTTTGAATTTCAGAAAAAAACAGGTTAGCCGTTTCCCCTGCTTCTGGTCTTTATGCTAAGCTAGGCTAATCACGTCCTGATTCCAGCTCTGTAGAATCATGGCTCTAGCTGCTGACTGCGTCCTGGCTGCTGGAACTTCAGCCTCTCTGTCCTGTATGTACCATCGCCTTCTGTCCATAAACCTGTCTGCAGACCGTTCCTCTCTTCCAATCCGATTAGGCAGCACAGCTAACAGGCTCCATCTCCCTCTGCTGTGGCCCTCCTGGTTCTCCATTCCCTCAGTCAGCTCTGTCAGTCAACAGACTGACTTGACCCCCATGAGTGACTCCTATAATGCTGGACTGACCGGGCCTTTATAGCTTCATCACACATGTTGTCTGTTCTGTCAACCTCAGTTTGGGTTAAATCTGTTTGTCTTCGTGTCCTGATCATGCTGTTCTATAGAAAATATAAAAGGTGACACAGGTGAGGAATAGGTGTTCTAACTCAGCTGTTACCTGTTTCAGTCTTTCCTGGGTTAACCAGTATGGTAAGTCCACTGGTCTGGTGTTAGCGACAGTCAATGTTCTGTGATGAGAATTAGTACAAATCTCTATCAGTAGAACATCAGTGCTCCCATGCTTTAGAGGTAGAGCAGCTTTCTTCTTTGGTAGTGCTGAGTGGCAGACGGAGCTCACGAGACCTACTGTGAAGATCTGAACGCACCTGAACAATCTCTAGCGCCCCCTCCTACCCCCACTAGACCAGTAGCACCAGCACTCCCTGACTCATCTGCTTACTGGTTTTTAACGCTTCACAAAGACCTAGGAGCTATGTTGTCGGGGCTATATGTCCCTGGTAGGGTCTCCCAAGGCGAACAGGTCCTGGGTGACGAGTCAGACTAATAGTGGTTCAAAAGCCCTTTATGAATAGAT